AGAATTTCCCAAACAAACATGAGCATATTTAGCTAACAACTTGTTTATCTCTGCTCAGTTGGTCTGTACAACATCATAACCATTGGCAAGTGCTCAACCCATTAGGTTTATCAATTTTAATTAACAGTCTGTATTATCCATTTTGCTAAACCATCAGACTTGGAGTGGTAAAGTTACATCCACATTTTCACCACACCCAATTACACAATTCAGAGAACACTTGGTTGTTAAAGCTAGTTTTCTGGATCATGTCCACTCTGAATCTGGTCCACTATTCTAAGATGGTGGCCAGACCCAGTTTGGCCTCTGTTAGTTTTTCGAGTTGTAGTGCCATCATTTACTGCTTGCTGACAAATCTCCTGCATTTACTAAACCATTAATCTAAACTTATAACCTTGTTTATTTTATTACATAACAAAATATTGCCAACTCACTTTATAATGATCCAACATTCTATGTGCAATGCAAATGTTTTGCTCCTCGTTTTTCATAAACCCATAAATCTTGGGAGTAGGGAATAGCCCTGAACATTCACTGTATGCTAGTGTAGTCATGCTACAGTTCCAGAATGTGTGAATCATTGGTTAACACTTGGTATGACTCATATATGTTGCATTTCAGGCACCTGAGTAGAACGGCCTGTCTTAGGTATACAGCTACTGAAGCTGCTGCTGCAAGCTTCTTCCTCTCCTGTGACAAGTTTATAGTTACTGCTTTGTACTTTAGCACAAAAGAAATTGCCTCAATCATATTGACATCACTTCTCCAGGAATTTCCTTGGTAATGATGCTACTCTGGGTGAGTGACATAGAACGTAGGTAGAACAAAAGGTGTTTAACAACATTTTTGATCAACATGTTATGTGGAACTGCACATACCTGTACCAATAACAAATTTTGAAAAATTCCTAAACTGGTACATGGAGATAGAAAACACAGGGTATGCTTGTATCCCACATATGCAGATTAGGCCTGTTACGTATTACAATTTCAAATAGCCTAACTTCAGTTAAATTGTACTTTAGATTTAGTAGTTAAATAAATGCTCATATGTGTCTAATTTATGATACTTGCCAACAAGATTGATACACACGGTTTACTTTTTAATGCAAATATGTATTAATATACAAGCAGCAATACAATTTATAATAACAGCTATTACAAATAGCTATTACAAACAATGATGTATGTACAAAAGTTTTAAAAAATTGCAAACAATATAAAGTCTTCTTTCTGGTCTGAAACTTCCTTGGTGTCTTATTCAGGGTTCACCATGACTGAGTTAATTTCGAGTTTACAAAGGTACAATTCACTTAATAGGGAGCTCTGTGGTCTGATCACACGCCGATTTTATCTGCTGATGAATTTGGATAATGTTTCCTTAAAAGTATTAATGTCTGATGTGAATCCACTGATGTTAAATGGTCTGTAATGTTCGAAATTTGTAAACGTTCCTGGTAAAATATCTGAGGTTTCCCGATTAATAATCGTTAATCACAATTAAAGCTTTCTAGGTTTATAGTATACCAACTATAGCAAACCAATAATACATACTGTTTTTGGTGAATTGCGTTGGTTATATTCATAGGCATGTGGAGAGTTTCTCGAAACTTCAGTTTACGTAATAATACTGACCCTAAAACTAGCATATACATACACACACATATATTGTTGATTCTTAAATTCGAGAATCTTCTACATCTTTAAACTATAGGCTGGAATTTCACAATACATATTTAACAGTATGTTATGTACATTTCTAAATATATAAATTTAATTTAAACAAACATCGATATTAAAATAAATGTATAATAACAGTATATCTGGCAACGAGCTTGAAGGGACAGCCACTGGAAATACTTGGCCAGTTGTCAGCAGACAACAAGCACAACTAAAGTGGACTGGTAGCTGCTCTAGAGCTCAGGTATGGAACCTAAAATCAGTCTGAAGTCTAAAGGGCTAGGTTTAGGACGAGAGTCCGTGCTAAAGGGGAGAGCCTGCAAGAGCTGGCAGAGGATTTGGAAAGTATGGCACAAAAGGCCTACCCAACTGCGCCATCCGATGTCCTCAAGTTGTTGCTGAGGGATCAGTTTGTAAATGCCTTGGGCAGTTCACAACTGAAGATACAAGTAAAGCAAGCACACCCCTCTACCATGCAGGATACAATGGCCAGAGCTCTCGAATTTGAATCATACGTTAAGTCCAGCACAGAAGTACCGAGGTTGGTACAGTCATCTGGAATCAAGGCCATAAAATGGCAGCTTTCAGAAAGGTTTGAAAGACTTTGCTGGTACTGTAACAAATATGGGCAAAAAAGAGCTAAATGCCAGAAACTTCAACAGAGGGAAGATGCCATGGCAGGAAAGGCTGCTGCCCAGAGAGGTTGTTAGAACTGTAGAGAGCTAAGGACATATGAGAAGCCAGTGTAAGAACAATACTATCAATAAGCCAGCTTTGGAGAAACCAGTAATGGTTCATGGTGAGGGATGCCTACCAACCCCACCGTGAAAGTCCCAACAGCTAGGTGTAAAATGCCAAGCACACATGGAGTATACGTGACAGGAAAGCTGGATGTGCAAAAGTGCAACTTTGTCATAGATTCTGCATCTCAGCAAACCCTTGTGAGTATCAAGGTGCTAGATCACAAAGATGTACCAGAAGCTATACAGAAGCTTTGTGGTGTGACAGGACATTATGCAAGGTTGTGGGAACCAGTGTGGATGACTATTGAGTTCATAAGCATGAAAAACAGACAGAAAGTATACTTGGTTGACATTGAAGATCCATGCATATTAGAATTGGACTATCTACTACCGATGAAGTGTGTAATTAACTTTTATAAAATGATGATTGGAAACAACAAAGTCCAGAATCCAGTAAGTGTTGCTACATCCGTTGATCTGCATGTCACAGCACTTAAGTCAACTACAGTAGCCCCTATATCAGAGAAGATAATTTGGGGTAGGATAAAAGAACATCCCCATAGGAGCCCAATGCTTGTAGAAGCAGTGGAAGACCCATCCAGGCCAGTGGATTTGAAGATTGGAAGATCACTTGTAGCAGGTCGTCAAGTAGTACCTATAACAGCGGCCAATTTCTCTAAATGTGAGCAGACACTTAAGGAAGGGACATTGTTGGGTGTTTGCCAGGAGATAGAGCCAGTCAATGTTAAAGCAAGAAATACAACTGTAAATAAAGGACATACACTTCCAGAATATTTGACTGACCTCCATAAGAAGAGCATAGTCCATTTGGCATCATCACAGGCTCTTCAGGTAAAAGAACGTTTGACAAATTATGCAGACGTCTTTTCGAAAGAAGGTCATGACCTAGGCTGCACAAAGCTTGTAGAGCACAGAATAAACACAGGCAATCACCGTCCAATAATGATCCCTCCAAGGAGAAT